GAACTGTAGAGTTCTGGCCTGTAGATGAGTGTGAACTGTAGAGTTCTGGCCTGTAGATGAGTGTGAACTGTAGAGTTCTGGCCTGTAGATGAGTGTAAACTCCAGAGTCCTGGCCTGTAGATGAGTGTAAACTGTAGAGTCCTGACAAACTGTAGAGTCCTGGTCTGTAGATGAGTGTAAACTGTAGAGTCCTGGCCTGTAGATGAGTGTAAACTGCAGAGTCCTGGCCTGTAGATGAGTGTAAACTGTAGAGTCCTGGCCTGTAGATGAGTGTAAACTGCAGAGTCCTGGCCTGTAGATGAGTGTAAACTGTAGAGTCCTGGCCTGTAGATGAGTGTAAACTGCAGAGTCCTGACCTGTAGATGAGTGTAAACTGCAGAGTCCTGGGGCCTCATGAATAAACGGTGCGCACGCATAAAAAAGTTATGTGCACCAGGTTCTACGCCCACATTGTGATGTATTAAAACCAATGTTGCGTGAAAGTGTGTGTATATTTACGCACACTTTTCACCTGCTGTGAGAATGTGCGGCAGACACACAAAGTTTTTCAGCCGACAGTTTTAACTCACAAAGTCATGAATCTGAGCTGAATCCACAGAAATATGACTCTTGTGTTTTCTGGATGTAAGGAGCGTCTGAACATGGTGTTGGATTTGTTTGAGTTTTTATTGTTTAAACTGAACCATGATGAAACTGAACCCCGGGACTGAAAATCATTTAACCTCAGACAAGAAAATAGATCAATCTAAAACTGATCAAAGAACCTCAGTCCAGTCTGTAAACTGGTTTTATATTTTTGTCACATAGTTGAAAACCTTTTGGGTCTCGGGCTGGAAAAACCTGACACATTACGTGCGGCATAAAAAAATAAAATAAGAAAGGCTGAAGAGAGGGAGCAACATCAGATACAAATGGTGGCTCACTGTACGGTAAGAATAATTATTTTTTCTGTGTGTAACCTTCTGACTGATGCTGAGCTGAGTTGTGGCCGTAGTGCAGCAGCTGTGCTTTGGGTAGATTCTCGTGCCAGGTGTGTGCACTCTTACCAGCTGGGAAGGTGTTCATACTGTATGTGTCAACACCTTTGGA